CAGGAGACCACTCCTTGTCACCTTCCTTCCATTCCTTTGGAGGAGCAGACCTTTCTTCTTCTTAGGCGACCACTCTCTAGCTCCTCCCTTCCTCTCCTTGTCCCCAGAGGACGATTCGTGACTTTCTTCTTTCCATGGTCCTTTGTCAGATTCCCAGGAGGCCCCTTTCTTGTCCATTGATTCCTCTATCTTAATTTCTTTCGATTTCTGCACCTCCTTCTGCTCTTTCTTAGAGTCTTCTTTCTTCAGTTCAATTTTCTTCGTCTCAGAAGGCCAGTCCTTATCACCTTCCTTCCACTCCTTCTTTTTAGGTGACCATTCCTTATTACCTTCCTTCCATTCCTTCGATGCAGGAGACCACTCTTTGTCACCTTCCTTCCATTCCTTCGATGGGGCAGACCATTCCTTATCACCTTCCTTCCGCTCCTTCAGTGGTGCAGACCATTCCTTATCACGCCTTATCACCTTCCTTCCACTCCTTCTTTTTAGGTGACCATTCCTTATTACCTTCCTTCCATTCCTTCGATGCAGGAGACCACTCTTTGTCACCTTCCTTCCATTCCTTCGATGGGGCAGACCATTCCTTATCACCTTCCTTCCACTCCTTCGGTGCAGGAGACCACTCCTTGTCACCTACCTTCCATTCCTTGGGTGCGGGAGACCATTCCTTATCACTTTCCTTCCATTCCTTCGGTACAAGAGACCACTCCTTATTACCGTCCTTCCACTCTTTCTGATCAGGGGACCATTGGTGGGTTTCTTCTTTCCATGGTCCCTTGCTAGACTCCCACGAGGCTGCGTTTTTCTCCTGTGATTCCTCTATCTTAATTTCTTTCAATTCCTGCACCTCCTTCTGCTCTTTTTTAGAGTCTTCTTGCTTCAGTTCAATTTTCTTCGTCTCAGGAGACCAGTCCTTATCACCTTCCTTCCACTCCTTCTTTTTAGGTGACCATTCCTTATCACCTTCCTTCCATTCGTTCGGTGGAGCAGACCATTCGTTATTACCTTCCTTCCACTCCTTCTGATCAGGGGACCACTCGTAGGTTTCTTCTTTCCGTGGCCCTTTGCCAGATAGCCATGATGCATCTTTCTTCTCCTTTGATTCCTCTATCTTAATTTCCTTCAATTTCTTCTGTTTATGTTCCTTCTTCGACTCTTCTTGCTTCAGTTCTATCTTCTTCTTCTTAGGCGACCACTCTCTAGCTCCTCCCTTCCTCTCCTTGTCCCCAGAGGACGATTCGTGACTTTCTTCTTTCCATGGTCCTTTGCCAGACTCCCACGAGGCCGCGTTTTTCTCCTGTGATTCCTCTATCTTAATTTCTTTCGATTTCTGCACCTCCTCCTGCTCTTTCGTAGAGTCTTCTTCCTGCCTTTCAATATTCTTCGTCTCAGGAGACCATTCTATATCGCCTCCCTTTCCCTCTTTATCACCAGTGGGCCACTGTTTGTCACCTGCCTCCCACTCGTCTCGAGAGTGCCATTCGTGACTCTCTTCTTTCAATGGTCCTTTACCAGATTCCGAGGATGCCGCTTTTTTCCCATTTGATTCCTCTATTTTAATTTCCGTGGACTTCTTCTCTTCTTTCTGTTCTTTATTGGATTCTTCTTTCTTCAGTTCGATTTTCTTTTTTTCCGGTGACCATTCTTTATCTTCTGCCTTCCACTCCTTGTCTGCAGCGGGCCATTCGTGACTTTCTTTTTTCCATGGTCCTTTGTTAGATTCCCACGATGCTCCTTTATCCCCTGTGGGTTCCTCTATCTTAATTTCTTTCGATTTCTTCTCCTCTTTCTTTTCTTTTTTAGGTTCTTCTTCGTTCAGTTCGATTTTCTTCTTCTCAGACGACCACTTATTGTCTGGTGCCTTCCATTCCTTGTCTCCAGAGTGCCATTCGTGACTTTCTTCTTTCGATGCTGCTTTGTCAGACTCCCAGGATGCCCCTTTGTGCTCCTTTGATTGCTCTATCTTAATTTCCTTGGATTTCTTCTCCTTTTTCTTTCCGTTCTTAGATTCTTTTTGCTCTAGTTCGATTTCCTTTTTCTCCGGTGACCATTCTTTATCTTCTGCCTTCCACTCCTTGTTCCCAGCGGACCATTCCTGACTTTCTTCTTTCCATGGTCCTTTGTCAGATTCCCAGGAGGCCCCTTTCTTGTCCATTGATTCCTCTATCTTAATTTCTTTCGATTTCTTTTCCTCTTTATGTTCTTTCTTAGACTCTTCTTCCTTCAATTCGACTTTCTTCTTCTCAGAAGACCACTCTTTATCTCCTTCCTTCCATTCCTTCTCCCCAGCGGACCATTCATGACTTTCTTCCTTCGACGGTCCTTTCACAATTTCCGAGGATGCCCCCTTATCATCTTTTGACACCTCTATCTTTATATCCTTTGATTTATGTTCCTCTTTCTGTTCTTGCTTAGATTCTTCTTCCTTCAATTCGACTTTCTTCTTCTCAGAAGACCACTCTTTATCTCCTTCCTTCCATTCCTTCTCCCCAGCGGACCATTCATGACTTTCTTCCTTCGACGGTCCTTTCACAATTTCCGAGGATGCCCCCTTATCATCTTTTGACACCTCTATCTTTATATCCTTTGATTTATGTTCCTCTTTCTGTTCTTGCTTAGATTCTTCTTCCTTCAATTCGACTTTCTTCTTCTCAGAAGACCACTCTTTATCTCCTTCCTTCCATTCCTTCTCCCCAGCGGACCATTCATGACTTTCTTCCTTCGACGGTCCTTTCACAATTTCCGAGGATGCACCCTTATAATCTTTCGATACTTCTACCTGTATATCCTTTGATTTCTTTTCCTGTTTCTGTCCTTTTTTAGACTCATCTTCCTTCAGTTCGAGTTTCTTCTTCTCAGAAGACCACTCTTTATCCCCTTCCTTCCAATCCTTTTCCCCAGCGGACCATTCAGGGCTTTCTTCCTTCCATGGTCCTTTCACAATTTCCCAGGATGCCCCCTTATTATCTTTCGACATCTCTATCTTTATATCCTTTGATTTATGTTCCTCTTTCTGTTCTTTTTTGGACACTTCTTCCTTGAGTTCGATTTTTTTCTTCTCAGGCGACCATTCCTTATCTCCTGCATGCCACTCCTTGTCTCCGGAGGACCATTCCTTGTCTCCTTCCTTCCACTTCTGATCCCCAGAAGACCATTCGTGGCTTTCTTCTTTCCATGGTCCCTTGCCAGATTCCCAGGATGCACCTTTCTTCTCCTGTGATTCCTCTATTTTAATTTCCTTCGACTTCTTCTCTTCCTTCAGTTTCTTCTTAGACGCATCTTCCTTCAGTTCGATTTTCTTCTTCTCAGGAGACCACTCTTTATCTCCTAACTTCCATTCTTTTTCCCCAGAGGACCATTCTTTTTCTCCTTCCTTCCACTCATTCTCCCCTGTCGACCATTCGTGGCTTCCTTTGCTAGCGTCCAAAGATAGTCCTTTCTTCTCCTTTGATTCCTCTATTTTAATTTCCTTCGACTTCTTCTCTTCCTTCAGTTTCTTCTTAGACGCATCTTCCTTCAGTTCGATTTTCTTCTTCTCAGGAGACCACTCTTTATCTCCTAACTTCCATTCTTTTTCCCCAGAGGACCATTCTTTTTCTCCTTCCTTCCACTCATTCTCCCCAGTCGTCCATTCGTGGCTTCCTTTGCTAGCGTCCAAGTTTAGTCCTTTCTTCTCCTCTGATTCCTCTATCTTAATTTTCTTCGATTTCTTCTCCTCCTTCTTTTCTTTCTTCGACTCTTCTTCCTTTAGTTCAATTTTCGTCTGGTCTATGGACCATTTTTTGTCCCCTTTTTGCAACTTCTTGTCGCCAGTTGACCACTCCTGGCTTTCTTGTTTCCATTGTTTCTCAATTGGCGACCACTCATGATGGTCTTCTTTAATAGGCTCCTTCAATAGGTCCCAGTTCCCTCCTTTTTTCTCCTTCAACATCTCTATTTTAATATCCTGGGATTTCTTCTCTGATTTCTGTTCTTTCTTAGACAGTGCCTCTTTCAGTCCGATTTCTTGCTTCAGGGAAGACCATTGCTTGTCTTCTTTCTTCCACCCCTTTTTGCCCGGGGACCATTCCTTGTTTTCTTCCTTCCACTCCTTCTTTCCAGGAGACCATTCATGTCTTTCTTTTTTCCGCAGACCTTTGCCAATTTCCCAGGATGCACCTTTCTTCTCTTTCGACTTTTCAATTTGAATTTCCTCAGATTTCTTCTCTACCGTCTCAACTGTCTTGGACTCCTCTTCCTCCATTTCGACTTTCTTCGTGTCTGAGGACCATTCCTTGTCTCCTTTTTTCGACTCCGTCCCTCCAGAAGACCATTCCTGACCTTCTTCTTTCCACTGTCCATTTCCAGAATCCCAGGAATGTCCTCTTTCCTCTTTAGACTCCTTTTCAATCTCCTCTGATTTCTGCTCTACCATCTCAACTTTTTGAGACTCTTCTTCCTCGAGTCCTACATTCTTCTGTTCGGCGGTCCATTCCTTACTTTGTTCCGTCGACTGCTTCTCCCCGGAAGTCCATTCCTGGCTTTCTTCTTTCGAGTGTCCCTTTCCGGTGTCCCAAGATTGTTCTTTCTTCTCTTTAGACTCCTCTATTTTTATTTCTTCTGATTTCTTCTCTTTAGACTCCTCTATTTTTATTTCTTTTGATTTCATCTCTTCCATTTTAGCTTTCTTAGAGTCTTCTTCCTTCAATGCAATTTTTTTTCTCTCAGAAGACCACTTATTTTTAGCATCTTTCCACGGTGTACCCCAAGCAGACCATTCCTGTCTTTCTTCTTTCCATTGCCCTTTCCTCAAGTTCCAGGGCATAGCGTTGTTATATTTCGACTGCTGTATTTGTATTTCCTTCAGTTTCATTTCTTCTTTCTGTTCTTTCTTGGACTCTTCCTTCTTCAGTTCAATTTTCTTCTTCTCCGAAGACCATTCTTTATCTCCTTTTCTCCATTCCTTTTCGCCGGAAGACTCCTTACCTGCTTGCTTCCACTTCTTCTCAGAGGACCATTCCTTATCTCTATTTTTCCATTCCTTCTCGCTGGAAGACTCCTTGTCTCCTTTCTTCCACTCAGGGGACCATTTCTTGTTGTCTTCCTTCCACTCAGGGGACCATTTCTTGTTGTCTTCCTTCCACTGTCCCTTCTCAGGGCCCCAGCTCTTGTGAATTTTCATTTCTTCCGCTTTATCCACTTTTGCCGCGCTCCATGATTTTTTCAGTAATTCGTCACTTATTTGTTTTGATTTTATTATTTCCTTCAGTTCTTCTTCGTTCAAATGTTGCTGTTTCCTATCGACTCCTTTCTGCCAGCCCAGATATTTCTGCTTGTCTATTATTAAGTCAGGTTTAGATTCATTTGTATCTTCTAAGTTCAAGGATTTATGTTCTCCCTGTATCATATAGGTTTTCCTATGTCCAGCCGGCATTCTGTCCAGTAGCCCTGTGTCCGCTAATGCCGGCCCATGGTCTAACCTAGCCAGCAGTGCAAGTGGATCAGGCTCGTATAGAGGTTTATTTCTTAGAGGCTCCTTACCACCGTTCTCTATTTCCTCGAGTGGAAGACTATGTCCATATATTCTTCTTCTGCTATCCAGATCCCAGGCCCTGTCTCTATACTGATTACGCATCTTCAAATTCTCTTCGTTCAATTTCTGACTTTCTATACTCAGTTCCTCATGCGTCCTTATGTTCTTCATATTGTGAGCATTCCACGTCGGTACTGGTGATTTATTCTCTCTATTCTTCCAATTCGATTCAATTTCTTCTTTCATCCACTTTTCACCTTGTTGATTTGCAACTTCCACGTGGCCACTTTTAACTACTGCTTTAGGCAATGGTTCCTTATAAATGTTTGACTCAGCTGCGTACCTCGCCCAATCAGCATCCTTCAGTTCTTCAACTTTCTGCTGTTTACCCGTGTACGTACTCGTCGATTTCAATTTAGCGTTCCTGAGAATTTGCTTGATGATGCTGCTGCTGCTGGATGCACCGGTCGGGTCGTCTACCACGAAGGAGTCCCAGAATTGTCGTCGATACGCCGACTTTGGTTTATTGGTCTTCATATCTGATTCCCTCACTTTTCCCAGCCATGCTATTATCGGCGGTACGCGTTTTTTTTTATGGATGCCATTTACCTGTGTATTGGTAATATCAGTTATCAATGATACTATTATTTGGGGTTTGGAAATTGGAGGATATGGAGGTTTGAGGATTTGGGGATTGGAGGATTTGGAAGTTGGAGGATTTGGAGATTGGAGGATTTAGAGGTTGGAGGACTTAGAGATTGAAGGATTTGGAAATTGGAGGATTTGGAGATTGGAGGATTTAGAGGTTGGAGTATTAGGAGATTCAAGTATTTGGAGGTTGGAGTATTTGGAAATTGCAAGATTTGGAGATTCAAGAATTTGGAGGTTGGAGGATTTGGAAATTAGAGGATTTGGAGATTGGAGGATTTGGAGATTGGAGGATTTGGAGATTGGAGGATTTGGAGATTGGAGGATTTGGAGATTGGAGGATTTGGAGGTTGGAGGATTTGGAGTTTGAAGTAGTTGGAAATTGCAAGATTTGGAGATTCAAGGATTTGGAGGTTAGAGTACTTGGAGATTGGAGGATTTGGAGATTTTCAAATTTATATGAGTCTTTGGGATGTGAAAATTTAAGAATCAGGAGATTCCTTAAATCAGGAGAAAATTTAAGAATCAAGAATTAAGCGATTTAAGAATCGGAATTTGCTCATAAAACTTCTTAAATTCCTCATCTGGGTGAATATAACCTAAAATCAGAATTTTCAAATTTCCCTATCTTTGACGATTTGTCCAAACATACCTGTGCGTCATTCTCGTCAAGAAACGACCGTCGCCAATCAGTTTCGCTGGAAGCCTTCTCAACCGATTCCCCCAAGGCTAATCCAATCTCGCGTCGCGACTTGTGCTGCGTTTGAACTTGCGCACCGACCGAACTCTGCGTTTGAACATTGCTGGAAACAGCTTCCACGTGTTTCTGTACCGTTTCACTCTGCTCCTGTATTTGTCCACTCGACTTCTGTAACTCTTGAACCGCCGGCGTGACAATAACACAGAGAAACGATAAAAAAATCACAGGTATCTTCATCTTCGCCGTGTCATTGGACACTATTATCCGTCCTCGGTGATCCTTCGATTATATATACTGTTTCCACACAATTGTAAAAACAGTCTGCTCGAGAACTCGATCGAATGTTGTTGCAGGTCGGTGTCTACCAATCCGCTTCTCCCGTTTCTATTCACTCCAATCGATTTTAGATGATATTTACTCTTTGATCGAAGATCAATTGCGCTTGTTGACAATGTTAATTCTTTCGCAGACTCGTTTCGAGGTGTTTGCGATTAAGATTACAACAGCCAATGAGATTCTGTGCGTGTACGTTGACTCGTCTCAATTTTTCTGGAATGGAAGAAACTTTACGTGGTTAAATTTTTATTGTTTGAGATGTTATTCTATTTTTTAGGGCGTTAGGTTGGAAATTAAAATAGCTTGTTAGAAATATTTTGTTAGTAATTTTTGTCGTGAGGTGATCAAATTAGTATTTAAATTTTATTGATAATGATGCTACATTTTTTGCTATGCTTTACTGATGTTATTCTGTTTTGTTATACTGCTATTTTATTGTTTTGGTATTCTAGCGCTGTACAATTATTTTAATAGTGTCATTATATAATTATATTATTATTTTACTAATTTAATTATTGTTCTATTGTACTATTATGTTATTCCATTATACTGTACTATTATACTATTTTAGTGTTCTACTAATTTTTCTACACTATTGTTCTATTACTTCAGTATACTACCATGATGCTTTTCCAACCTAACCTAATTTTTCAATTATGGCGGTATACAGCAATGCACTAACTCTAAATCTATAATAATGTTGCATTACAATTATTACAATTATGCTACTATATTATTACTCCTAATATGTTACATTATCTGTGTATCCCATATTTCATTAATTTTACTACTTCATTCTTACCATACTATTTTATTATTTAACAATTGGTTAAACTTTGCAATGCTACACTACAATGTGCGTACAATTTGTGCACTGCAATATGTGTACAATATCTGCATTACTATATTTGTTCATTATTCAGTCATAATTAAATTATTATAAATAATTACCTACATATAAAAATGCGAATTGGTAACCTAACACTCATACATAGATTAAATGATCAGTCCAATTGTCCCAGCAATATTGAAAGTTGCTCATCAGATAGATAGCCATATTTGCAACCGGATTAATGTTTCAATTAAAACGTTCAGAATTTTATCCATGATTCAACGTTAAACGGGAAACAATATCTCGTTAAGCGAAAGCTCGAAATTCAAAATAACGCAAGAACGAATCACAATTCTGAATATTGTAGAGATGGACTGATTGGATCGCTGTCAGTGCTCGACCTGAATTTTTCATTCGTTACTCTAATCTATTAAATTCTATCGACGCATGCTTTCACGCATTTCTTCTCTTCAAATTACTACTTCACGAACGTTTGTCAGACTTGCAACACTTTTCGACACGTTTCATTTACTCGAATTCTCAAATGTTTACAGACAAAATAATATGAGAGGAAACGTTCCAGACTAATTTGTGACGATCTCGAAATTTTAAATATGAAAAAATTTGAAACGGTATAAAATTTCTCGAAAACATCTGCAATAACTAACTGCTAATCATTTTGACGTTGTACTTTAACGTAAAAATTGCGTAACATTCTGTTGACGCGAAATATATCAAAGAACCGGTTAGTGTAAACAAAAGACGTGCAATTTCATTAAACAAGAGATAAATTCCATTCAACGAAAGACTCATAATTCCATTTAAAAAAAATACATCGTTCTATTTATAGCATTTCAAAATTATAATCGCATGAAATTTTAAGATCAACATAACCTCAAAAAATGTGAGATCTCGTTAATCTCGTGAAACATTTCAAACATTTCTTCTTGTAATCCACATTTTTTTTAACATTTAAATGGTACCAGATCGAAGGGACATGTAACAAAAAAGATATATGTTTATATGTTCAGTAAACAGACAGGAAATAAATATACTTGTTTTGCCGTGCAATTGAGTATCTTTGTGTAGAAACAGGTCTACATCAGAGTCATGCAATTGTTATTTCAAATATTTCATATAATTCACACCTTTTTAACCATTTAAGTGTTTTCGAATGAATCGAACGTACTTTACATGTGACAATGAAAAGAAGATGAAATATATTCTAACAATATATTCTAACAAGAATATATTCTTCTAACAAGAAAGGAAATAAATATAACAGTAAAAATACGAAGTATATATGATAACAAAAATCAAAATAAATATGCTGACAAAATAAAGAAGTACGCTAACAAAAAATGTCAACAAAATAAAGATGAATTTTTTTAACAAAGAACAAAGTACATTAACAACAAAAAAAACATACTTCTTAGAAAGTAATTATACTGCCTTTCTAGAAGAATTACATATCTGCATTAACCTAACCTAACCCAGAAATATTTGTATCGATTTAATATTTAATAGTTAACAGTTAATAGTAGTTCGATATCCACGACACGGTATTCAGCTATAAGAGAAGTAAACCAAAACGTAACACGAGAATCTTTGTTAGTGGAAAGTTTATTTAGCATACGGTTCGCGACGGACACAACATTCTGCGGGAACGCGAAATAATTTCGTTCCATGGTGGAATGCTTTTCATCGCGTTTAACGCAGCAACTTGTGTTTCGTTTTCAGCAACAGAGGCACCCGCCTCTTCTTCTTGGTTGGATGTTCCTGGTACTCCCGTTCCTGCCCGCATCCAATCTTTTTATTACCGTTGGATTCGTCGTTGCGGAACGAGTGCTCTACATGCCCAGGTAACTACTAATTTCTCTTCATTCTTTGTAATCTCAAAAGTTATAGAATAACGTGGCCGAACGAGAATATTAAAGTAACGACCCCTACAAAGTTTTACGGACTGAAATATCTGGGCAAAGAAAGGTACGAAATGCGGGTGTCTTTTGGTACTAGGGAAATAGTTCTTTATAGGGAAATTGTAATGTGGGAGATAGAGGACTTATTTTTGATTCATTAATTTTTGGATTTTGGGGTTTGGAAATAAGCAATTGGGAACTTTAGGATTTGGGAATTTTGGAGGGTGGAAATTTAGAGAGGTGGGAATTTAGAGAGGTGGAAATTTAGGGAGGTGGAAACTTAGGGATTTGGGAAGTTAAGGAGATGGAAATTTAGGGATTTGGAATTTTAGAGTTTTAGGAATTTAGGGAGGTGGAAATTTAGAGATTTGGGAATTTGGAAGGTGGAAATTTAGGGAGGTGGAAATTTAGGGATTTGGGAATTTAGAGAGATGGAAATTTAGGGGTTTGGAAATTTGGGGATTAGGGAATTGAAGGAGGTGGAAATTTAGGGGTTTGGAAATATAGGGATTTGGGAATTTAGAAAGGTGGCATTTTAGGAAGATGGAAATTTAAGGATTTGGGAATTTAGAGAGATGGAAATTTAGGGGTTTGGAAATTTGGGGATTAGGGAATTGAAGGAGGTGGAAATTTAGGGGTTTGAAAATATAGGGATTTGGGAATTTAGAGAGGTAGAATTTTAGGAAAATGGAAATTTAGGGATTTGGGAATTTAGAGAGATGGAAATTTAGAGGTTTGGAAATTTAGGGATCAGGGAATTGAAGGAGGTGGAAATTTAGGGGTTTGGAAATTTAGAGAGGTGGAAATATAGGGATTTGAGAATTTAGAGAGGTGGCACTTTAGGAAGATGGAAATTTAGGGATTTGGGAATTTAGAGAAATGGAAATTTAGGGATTAGGGAATTAAAGGAGGTGGAAATTTAGGGGTTTGGAAATTTAGAGAGGTGGAAATATAGGGATTTGAGAATTTAGAAAGGTGGCACTTTAGGAAGATGGAAATTTAGGGATTTGGGAATTTAGAGAGATGGAAATTTAGGGGTTTGAAAATTTAGGGATTAGGGAATTTAAGGAGGTGGAAATTTAGGGATTTGGGGTTTAGAGAGGTGGAAATATAGGGATTTGAGAATTTAGAGAGGTGGCACTTTAGGAAGATGGAAATTTAGGGATTTGGGGATTTAGGGAGATGGAAATTTAGGCATTTAGGAATTTAGAAATTTAAGAATTTTATGATTGGGGAATTTAGGAATTTATAATTTGGGGGTGTTGGAAATTTGGTAATCTAGAGATTCGAAGATTGAAAATTTGGAAATTTAATAATTTGAGATTTGGAAAGAAAGTAATCTGGGCTTTTAGTGATTTGAAAATTGGGAAGTTTAGAAATCTTACAGTTTGTATTGTAATTTGCCAAATTGGGAATTTACAGATTCGAATTTTTAAAAATTTAGGAATTTACTAATTTGAGAAATATAAACACTAGAAAATTTTGAAATCTGCAAATTTAATAATGTTTAAATTTAAGAATTAAAAACTTTGACATCTGAATTCAAATATTGGAAACCTAATTGAAGAAATTTACAAATTACTTTCTCTCCCAAAACATATTTCAAAGCCTAAAAATTAATATACCACTACTAAAAAATAAACTAAAATAAATGAAAAATGTTTCAGTGTCGGATGGATTCTACTGGTCGTGTACGGGATGCAAATCAGCTGGACCGCAATTCCCCGAAGAAGAAGTCTGATCACCACAGGGATAGTTCTACTTCTACTGTTAGGATGTTACAAAACGATTCATAGGAATCGAGATTGGACTTCCAGAGAGACTCTGCTGAGGTCAGTGTAGCTCAAGAATTCCATCCTACTTTACCTAAAAGTAGTAAATCATCGATTGCATTTTATAAAAAGACCATGACATGTTTTCTCGACTTAATTACGTTTAAATTCAGTGCTCGGTGAAACGCGAATCGTTTATTTTCCGCTGTCCACGGAGACTGTCATAACATTAGCCCTGATAACGGCAGCGTCCGATAATAGACTGAAACACGTACGCCGAAGAAACAGACGCGTACATTCGAGTGTTTGTCGGCGAGGATGATGCAGAAGAACTCGAGGCGTGGCTTCGCGTTTCTTTATTTACAATTGAAAGCGGCGCTCGCTCGAATTTCATCTTCTGGAATTCACGGATCGAGAATTTTCAGCGGGATAGAAGATTTCGGAGTATATCGTGTTCTCTGGGACGCGTGAAAAATTCATGACTCTTTCGTTTCTTAGAAATTCGCCGGAAACTCTGTTGACGCTTTTTGCAATAAATTTTAAAAGGAATCTGACGCCCTCGTTTTAACGCGGGAAACTTAAATCCTAAACTGTTACTTTTTCCAAACATACGCGAGAACTTTGTTACATATTTATTTTTTCATGTTAAGTCCTTAATTTATCTCATAATAAATTATAAGATAGATTAAGTTTTCATTTCACCTTATTTCGCATTAAAAGATTGGCAACGGTTGAGAACCGCTGACAAGGTTGACGCCATGTTTGAGTGAAATAAAAAGTTTTGTTCACTTTTTCTAAGTTTTTGATAAGGTAACGATATTAGACCGACTATTTCAAATTTCCTCTTCGAATCTTCCGTAGCAAGTTCCTACGTTTCTATACGTTCTGCTTCCACTTCCTTTTGTTTCAAGTTCTGTAACTCGTGTCTGTTTTCTTGTAGAATTTCTGCTTTAGATTCCCTGTTCCCTAACTTTCTCTCTTTTGGACCTTCCGCTCTGAATACCTTTCTGTTCGGATCTTTTAACTCAAATTCCGATTTCCCTAAACATTTTACTCCGAACTTCTCTACTCGCGTTTGGCTTTTGCATACGAAATGGCGGATCTTGAAATGGCGGGTCTGGGAACTGTAATTCGATAGATTTTACTTTATAGTACTCATAAGTTCAATTTTACACTTCAAATTATTTGAAAATCTGAGTGATTACATAAATAACTCATGAATGTTTTTAACCTCTTGATAATGATGAGCTGCACTTGTGACGCACTTTCAAGTGTAACAAACCTTCCTCATATTTTTAGTACAATGTTCAAGTATAATTGTAATTTGCTCCGGGTTCGTTAAATTTAACACAGGCATAATATTTTAACTTTCTTTAATCTTAAGATTGTAACAGTAAATAGTTAGTCATGTCTGACGTGTTTGTTAAATAAATTATAGTGTGAGGGGTTTATTAGTCTCATTACTTATCAGGTTATTGACAGTATGTGATAAGATCGTTAATTAACAAGCAAGATTACTAAAAAATTTTTTAAAGAATTTTGATATCGACCTGGTAACCTGAGAGATTCACTCTTTTTCTTTTAAGTATGAATTCAGATGCATCTATTAGATATCAACCTATTAGATTCGTTCTCTTCTTTCAATCATAAATTTATGTGCACCTCTCAAGTACGAGTACCTCACATCCTAACATTTTAACATCCTCACAGCCTGACAGATTCATCCCCTTCTTTCAATTATAGATTCATATGTATCTCTTGTATATTAAGTATCAACCTGATATGAAACTAACAGATTCACCCCTAGATTTCAATTGTAGCTTCATATGTAACTATCACATACATGTATAGGTATAAACGTGTTACTATCTTAACACATTCACCCCTAGATTTCAATTGTAGTTTCATATGTAACTATCAGATATATGTAACATATTGTATGTATAAACGTGTTGTCATCCTAACACATTCACCCCCGTATTTCAATTATAGCTTCATATGTAACTATCACATACATGTATAGGTATAAACGTGTTACTATCTTAACACATTCACCCCTAGATTTCAATTGTAGTTTCATATGTAACTATCAGATATATGTAACATATTGTATGTATAAACGTGTTGTCATCCTAACACATTCACCCCCGTATTTCAATTATAGCTTCATATGTAACTATCACATACATGTATAGGTATAAACGTGTTACTATCTTAACACATTCACCCCTAGATTTCAATTGTAGTTTCATATGTAACTATCAGATATATGTAACATATTGTATGTATAAACGTGTTGTCATCCTAACACATTCACCCCCGTATTTCAATTATAGCTTCATATGTAACTATCACATACATGTATAGGTATAAACGTGTTACTATCTTAACACATTCACCCCTAGATTTCAATTGTAGTTTCATATGTAACTATCAGATATATGTAACATATTGTATGTATAAACGTGTTGTCATCCTAACACATTCACCCCCGTATTTCAATTATAGCTTCATATGTAACTATCACATACATGTATAGGTATAAACGTGTTACTATCTTAACACATTCACCCCTATCTTTTAATTGTAGTTTCATATGTACCTATCATATGTATATGTATAAACATGTTACCATTCTAACAGATTGACCCCCATCTTTCAATTGTAGTTTCATATGCACCTATCAGACATATGTGTAAACATATTACCACCCTAATAAATCCATCCCACCTTTGAATTGCAATCTCATATGCACCTATCACATGAAAAAAGCATGGTAAATATAAATGTAAAGTACTAGCATTCTAGATTCACCCCATGTTTCAATTACCGATATTCCTTAATTCGTTCTATTTTCCGGATACATTTGTCCCGCTATTCTAAATTTCCCTGTGATTCCCCGATAAATCACGGATATTGAAAAAAGTATAAATCGCGAGGGAAAGTTTCCGCTCGTTCGTGGAGCGTGCAGAGCGTATTCACGGGATCCCCGGTCTAAATTCGTCGAATCGCGAAGTAATTCCGCGAAGATTTACGTCAGGCTTTCCGCCACGAGTCGAACAACGCCACTGGCACGGCGCCAGGCTGGCGCTTGCACGTACGTTAACGTACACGTGTACAAAGCAAGCGAAAGTCGCGGGAAAGCTTCGAACGTGACACGGCGACGTTTAACGCCGTTGACGAAAGAAAAATCGTGGATGTAGGAAATATCGGTGAACACGTGTCTGAGACGAGCTATTTTGTTACAGAGCCGGACTACGATCTCTACCGCACAACGCCAAGATGCATTACAACTTTGCCAACTTCCTCAGAGACATGTCGCAACCGAACCGTGCGATCCTGCATTACCAGCTGGCCCTTTGGTGAGTACCCTCTGTACACGTCGATGTTGCGCATTCCGCTCGAAAGCACCGGAAATACGACGTCACCGGCCTCTTAGCGTCGACGCAGTTCATGTAGAAGCTTTCGAAAACGCTGCCAGCAAATAGAGCCACGCTTTCACCGGATTCAAGAGATTTCAGCTGAAAGGGCTGGGATGTGTTCTGGCAAGTGGGGATGAAATTGTAGGGAACTTGAAAAGAACTTGCACCAAGGGAAATGAAGGTTTATACATTTTCTTTTTGCTTTCTTTTATTTCGGGTATTTAGCGAATTTTTCTTGCGTTGGCTGACGCGGAAAATCGAAAGAAAGTCTATATTTCAACTTTTGGAAACTTTTGTGTACTGTTATTTTTGGTTAGTTAATTATAGGTTAGGTTTCAGGACTATAGGGTTATTGGGGTGTAAACTTTTTTAATTTAGTGTTTGCGTGGCAGGCTATTTTGGAACAGCGATAAACTTGGAATTTAAAAAATTTTCTTCTTAGTTCATAAATTTCCGAATACTAATATTCGGAAATATTCACGGCAGTTTATAAATTTTGTAGTTGTCAAACTTTTCGGTTCCCTAATTTGGAATTGTTTTGTGATAACATTTGAAGAAGATAATAAATCTTGCCGCTTATGGTAAAAGAGTATAAGAAAAGAAAGGAAAATATTGAGGCAGTAAGACGAATATTTACTGAAGAATACCAAGAAAAATAAACAGGTCAAGAAGAAGGGCATGTAGATTTGATTAACGCTGCGAGACGGAAGAAGTGTCTTTCGCGGTGATAAAACGTTAAAAACACAAAGTGCTTATAAAGAAGAAATACCCATACTATAACAAGAGAAGTAGTTCAGCACTCGTGAGAGCTGGTTCCCTGTGGAGAAAGTTGAGAAACTTTATATTTGTTAAGTTTAGGACTTTGGAAATTTGATCATTTGGGGATTTGGGGATTTGGGATTTAAGGATTTGGGGATTTGAGGATTTGAGGATTTGAAGATTTGGGTGTTTCAAAATTTAGGGATTTGAGGATTGAAAATTTAGAGATTGGAGGATTTGGGGATTTGGAAACTTGGAGACTTGGGTATTGGAGGATTTAGGGATTTGGCAATTGGTGAATTTGAGAATTTGGTGATTTGGGGATTTGAGAATTGGAGGATTTGTGATTTGGGGTTTGAGAATTGGAAAATTGGAGGATTTGGTGATTTGGAAGTTTGAGGATTTGGGAATTTAGAAATTTCAGAATTTAAGAATTTGAAGATATGGAGATTTAGGAAGTTGAGTATTTTGGGATTTAGGATTTAGGGATATGAAAATTGAAAAATATTAGAATTGAAGAATTTGAAAGTTTGAAGGTTTGGGAATCTGGATTTTGGTATTTAGGAAATTTGTGGATGTAAGAATTTTGCACTGTGGGTATTTAAGAATTTAAGAATCAGTAAAACTGTACTCTCGAAAATTTGCAAGCATAGAAATTTAAGAAATCTCAAGTTCGAAAAGCTCACATATCAATCTCACATATTCACTTGTTTAAAACAGAAATACAAAGCTACCCTGATTGCACTCGATCTTGCCACCCCCATAAATCTGAACCTCCAAACACATTAACCGTAACCCCACGACAAATCCATTAAGAAACCCGATCATCGCTTGAAAAACAAATATACTAATGTGCCTCAGAACATAAACACATACTCACCGAGACATGTGACACATCCCCTCGCTTCCGCGTGCGATCGATGTTGCAATTTCGAGTGATTTACCTTTCTTTGCGATGAATTCGATCAGAATTCTCATTTCGCGAACAAAGTAATCGTGGTAGTAATCGTACGAGTGTCGCGTATCAACGGTTTCTTTCTTCTTTAGTTGTTGCTTTTGGTGTCCTTTTTATCTGAAGGGACGAAGCACGGCCGGCGAGAAACGCGCTTATCAAAGCGGTGTAAGAGGTTTACTGACAGCGACCGGTATTCCGATAATGAAAATTCCACTTCCCCGTTCACGCGAATCCTTTTGATGTCGAGGCTTCAATGAACCGTTCGCCCGCTCTTCTTCCTACGAACAAGACCGCCGCTATGTTACTCTCCTTTTTTTGGCACCGGATCGGCCATATTTCACGTGGTCCCAACAAGACAAAGTTTCGCCTGGATCAAAGTCTGATTCACGGTTTTAAGTAAATTCATTAGCGTGTTATTTTACCGCAATCAACCGAATACTCGAACACGTTTCGCGTTACCTGGACCATTGTGTTTTTAACGAGGATTCGTTGGCTGTTGATAGCCTTGTGATATTTTTAGCTTCCAGAAGTTTCTTATTTTGGAAGTGTCTCTTACTTTCTTTTATTATTTTCGATTCCTATAGTTTTGGGATATTAATTGGAATATATTTGTTAGGGTTAGTAGGTTTTTGTGTTTAGTTTGAGAAATAGAGTAAAATCTTGTTATATTGCCGGTTTCATGTACAGCTGCGATTTCGAGGAAATTAATCTCTTCTGATGGACGTGAAGTTATTGCGCAATATATCGCCGCGAGTTGCATTCCTACACATTCTTATTGCCACGCATTGTATCGCCACGCGTTATATCGCCGTGCGTTATATCACCACACGTTATATCGCCACGCGTAATATCACCACGCATTGTATTTCTACACATTCCTATTACCACGCATTATATCACCACGTATTATATTACCACGCGTTATATCGCCACGTGTTGTATTCCTACACATTCCTATTACTACGAATTATATAGCCACGCGTTGTGTTCCTACACATTCCTATTACCACGCATTATATAGCCACGCGTTGTGTTCCTACACATTCCTATTACCACGCATTATATAGCCACGCGTTGTGTTCCTACACATTCCTATTACCACGCATTATATCGCCACGGGTTATATCACCACGAGTTATATCACCGCGCGTTATATCGCCGCGCGTTAAATCGCCACGTGTTGTATTCCTACACATTCCTATTACTACGAATTATATAGCCACGCGTTGTGTTCCTACACATTCCTATTACCACGCATTATATCACCACGTATTATATTACCACGCGTTATATCGCCACGTGTTGTATTCCTACACATTCCTATTACTACGAATTATATAGCCACGCGTTGTGTTCCTACACATTCCTATTACCACGCATTATATCGCCACGTGTTATATTACCACGCGTTATATCGCCACGCGTTGTATTCCTACGCATTTCTAGTACCACGCATTATATCGCGACGTGTTATATTACCACGCGTTATATTCCTACGCATTCCTATTACCACACATTATATCGCGACGTGTTATATTACCAAGCGTTATATCGCCGCGCATTATATCGCTTTGAGTTACATCACCACGCGTTATATTACCACACATTACATCACCACGCGTTATATCACCACGCATTAGTACTACCACGCGTTATATCACCACGCATTAGTACTACCACGCGTTGTATCTACATGTATTACCTCGTGCTGTATCGCTATGCATTAGTATTACCATCGGTTGTATCACTACGTGTTATATCACCACGCTGCATTACCAAGCGGTGATATTTCCATACGTTGTTATTGCACAACGTGATAGCTGACCGTTGTACCTCAACGCATCAATATCATCTGTATTACTACTCACCATTACCAACCCAACTCAATATATTGCAATTGAAACAATCTCCCACTATTACAAGTCTCCATCAGTAGCAATATAACAAGAGTCTGATTTATTGATTATCAGAAATGCTCATGAAATGCACGTTGCAAGTTGAAATGTATTTCAATCCAACGTTACCAATAATTCATTATGCAGGCTGTATATAACACGTGCATACGTGTATGAAAATGAATACACGCAAGCATATATGCAAATATCTGTTGCGTATCGACAGCTCGCCGTGGCACAAGTGTTTAAAACAATCGAGAATTAATTTCATTGCTGGATACGTTTGACGCGTGCAACTTTTTTTTCTTCTTTTTACGACAGCCACTAGAAATAACAATACACTCGAGACGAGCTGACAGGTTCTTCGTTTATTAAATTTTAGCGGGTATTAATTAGAATCGTTATCGAAACTGACAGTTCCACTTCGTTGTTAATTGCGTTTCGCGTTAATATCGAGCGAATGAAAACATTTCGTAAATTTGTGTCGTTGTTAAATTGAGTACACAGTTGTTCAGTGACTGCACGACAACGAATGCGTTCGAGTGGGAGCAAGACAAATATTAATGATCTTGATATATATCTATCGAATTTGTTCAAAATTCGACATTTCGAGTTTTATCCTCTTTCAATTTTTATTCGGTCTAGACACTTTTTACATTCTTTGAATTCCTTCAGATTCTCTTTAAGTCCTCGTAGGTTTTTCTTATATTGTACTCCATATTGTACTGTTATATTCCACATCATTGACAAATTTCCATGTTTAACCAATAATATTTTAACAGATTTCGCAATATTTCAACACATCCTGTTTTCGCGTAAAGCGATTAACGATCGAATAAAAATAAACGCACGCTGTAGCAATCGGAAAATAATTTGTAACAGTCGAAAGGCAATTTGGAAACGAAAAGTTACGATTAAATGGTACGTCGAGTCAGCAGAGATTCGATTCCGGTATTCACGAGCGAAATTTAGTTATTCCATTGTCGCTATTCATCCTCAGCGCGCCACTATTCAAAGATCTCTTTTGAGCCTTCGTAGCCATCTGTCGTGGAAAAAATTCGGCAAAAAGAGGGAGGTGATTTTGTAGTTTTGATAGATGGCGTTTAAAAACTAGATCGTATATTTGAAAGAAAAGGGCAGGAGAATGGATGGAAGAAAAAGTGCAGACATCATATTTTTGTGATTGAACATGCGCCGGGGATGAAAGAAAAGGGACAGCGACGAGTGCCATTCCGATGAGAGAATGCGATCAAATACGCCCTTGTATGATGGGATAATATTTGGTTAACGAGTAATTTAAAAGCAACGTAGATTTGCGTACTAAAAATGGA